TCCTCCTCCTCCTCCTCCTCCTCCTCCTCCTCTTCCTCGCTAAGAGAACCTGGGGCACCCGGGACACTTGGTGCGCCCAGAGCACCCGGACCACCGGAGCACCCGGAACGCCCGGAACACCGAGAACAACCGGAACACCCGGACCCGGAGCGCCCGGAACACCCGGAACACCCGGGCCTGGAACGGAGCCCCCGGCGCACCCGCGACACCTGGAACACCCGGACCCGGAGCACCCTGGACACCCGGGACACCCGGGCGTGCGCGTCCTCAGGGAGGACTGGCATGTGATGATGATAGTAGCGATGACGGTGACGATGGTGGCGATGACGCCGGTAAGGCCAATGATGTCGCCGATGCTGATCACGCCGATGGCGATGACGACGTCTTCGCGCCAATGATGAAGGTTTTGAAAAGAGTTCGACATGCGCGCGCGGCCAGCGCGCGTGAGTGACCCGCATGGGGTTATTTGACACGGACCCCCAACACGCGCGCAAAGGCATTTGAATGATTTCGACATGCGAGTATACATCAACCAATACAAGATATGATGGTATTCTGAAGGATTCGCAAGAGCGCGCGCATGGTTTTCCTTGCCAAGTGATGTTGCAAACCATATGTTGTGATATGAATCCAGGGGACTCCATTCTGGAAACCCTACAAAACCTGAGGTTATTGAAAGATTTCGGCATGCGCACGCGACGACACGCGCGCGCCCTTCGCCCCATCTGTTACAGGGGAGCCTCGCGACAGCACGCATGCGAGGGCGTTCGAAACATTGCGACATGCGCACGCGAGAGGCCAGCTGAGCCGAATTGACAATAACAGAAAGGAAGACACGGAACCAAAATTAGCAAGAGCGCGCGCATGCTGTTTTGGAGACTCACGCAGCGAAAATATTTGCTTGTTAATACGCATGCGTTCGGACCTCTCGATTCAGAAATCCGCGCGAAACCCAAGGTGTCTGCCACATTTCGGCATGCGAGCGCGACGGCGTGCGCGCGCGCACTTCGTCCCATTTGCTGGAAGAGATCTTTGAAAACCGACGACGTTTGATAAACAGGCGCGCGCACGGCACTTCTGCAAGAGATGAGGGGAGGGCGATCAGGGCCCACCTGGCACGGCACGAATTCGCTCTGAGGACGGACGAGGAAGCAGAATCACATGCAAATTGCCACAAGGGGGGGGGGGGGAGAGAGAGAGAGAGAGAGAGAGAGAGAGAGAGAGAGAGAGAGAGAGAGAGAGAGAGAGAAGAGAAAAAAAAAAAAAAAAAAAAAAAAAAAAAAAAAAAAAAAAAAAAAAAAAAAAAAAAAAAAAAAAAAAAAAAAAAAAAAAAAAAAAAAAAAAAAAAAAACGCTAAGTCCGAGGGGGGAGGGGGGGGGGGGGGGAGATCCCCACACTCCTTCAGGAACGAGGATCCAAGTGGCGCAACGCACTCGGCGCGTCATGCGCGGCGCAACCAACCGACGCGGCGCAGTCTACGCGGTGGAATATCAATTGCGCAGGTCATGATGTGCAATACGTTGGAAGGTCTGATTGGCTCTACTCCTGTTCCAACAAGCGCTGTGCTTATCGGGTCAAAGTCGCGCTGGGCGCGCCCGCCCCCCTTCCCCACGGCCGCGCACGAAAGCACTACAATAGTATTTGGGGGGTTCGGCTGCGTGCAATCGGAGGCTCGCTCAAAAAAAGCGGCCGCGCTCCTATGCAGCAAGTGGGCGGTCGACGGCCGACAGGCCGACAGCATTCCCGCGCGCATCTCCTGGACGGGGAGCGGCGAGCGCATCGGCCGAGACCCTCTTCGTTGACGCTCGCTCGCCGACGGCGAACCTGCTGCCAATCCAGCAGGTCCGAAACCCCATGAGTCGAATTGCTCCCGACGCTCTTTATGTTTGTTAGTATGCGACGTCTTGAGTTCTGTGTGCCATGGTTCATCCGCTTGCTGTTTTACTAATTGTCCTTACTTGTTCTCATTAACAACGCATGAGAGAACCTCGGCAAGGTCTGGTAGACCTCGTCAAGCCTTGGAAATCCTCGGCAGCGCTTGGCAGGCCGCAAGCAGCGCCGAGGCCTGTCAAGGCCCACGGCTGTTCTCAGAGGTTGACCGCTAACCGATTGGACCTCCAACTTAACATTGGTTTGAGCCAAAATATCCCACGATGGACACAACAGGGTCCTCTGCGCGCGCGGAGGTCTGCAGCGCCCCCCCACGTTGGCATGGGAACTAATGTGGACGCTTAGCGGTGGCCGATAAGATTTCGGGCGACCCGCGCGGCGGGCGGGCCACCCGCCGCGCGCGCGCGCGAGCTCTCGGCGAGTTCCGCATCGTCCACAATCGAAATGTCGCCAGGCTGGCCTGGAGATTCAAGTGGATTTTTAGCGGTGGCGGAAGTGATGTAGGTGAACATGGGTTCTCGGTGCACGGTTCCACGCATGAGCCATACAGAACTCCCCTGCGCACGCGCGCGCGAAGGGTTCCGTGGCGCCCACGGTCGGAACGTCACCATGCTGGCATGGAAACCCAAATGGCCTGTCAGCGGTGACTGGTGGCGCTACACATTGCCAAAATGTGTGGTGGGAACTACGTCGAGCAACGCGCGGGGCGCAATCCACGCGGTGCAACGTGCGTCGTGCAAATGCTACGCAACATACAAAAATACACACAGACATACATACAAAGAAACAAACATATACACATACGCATACACATACGTACACACATACATACACACATTCATACATATATTTGCACGTACATTTGAATAAACATACACATACACATAGATACAAACATATACGGCGCAAGCTGCGCTGCGCGTTCTACGCGGCGCGCAACCAACGCGGCGCAATCGACGTGGAGCAACCGACGCGGCGCAGTCTACGCGGCGCAATATGCGCGGCACAATATGCGCGGCGCAATCGACGCGGCAAAATCTACGCGGCGCAATGCACCAATGCTACACCAGAAGTTGCCCACTCCGCTGCTCACCCCAACACCCCACCCAATCCACCCACAATGTGGCTTGTAAGCCCCTGTGCGGCGGCGATTACGACGAGTGCTTGACGCTGGCCGGCGCATCTCAGCGGCCGCGACAGCCCGCGCATGCCTGCGCGCGCAGCGGCCAGCTACATTGGCGCGACCGACGCGGCCGCGGTGGCGCTGACCGCTGGGCGCCTTCCCAGCGGGCAACTTCACTGCGAGCCGGCGACTTGGGCGGGCGCGGCATCACGGCAACGTCGATGATAATAGCGATGCTGGCGATGATGTCGACTACGACGACGGCGCGGCCAGCGCGGGCGCCGAGGCCGATCCCGCCGACGACGACGACGGCCCCCCCCCCCCCGCCCCCCCAGCACGCGCGCAGGGGCGCGCGAGTGATGTCAGCATGCGGCGCGAGAAGCCCGTTCGGCAGAATTCCACGAAAATGTTCGGAAATCTACGGCTTGTCCCAAGAATTCACAAGAGCGCCAGCGCACGCTCTTTTAGCAACTGACGTTGCGAAACCATTCTTCTTTTGGTTGGACATTCGGTTTTGAACAACTGCGAAACCGAATGTTGCTTTACGGGTTCTGGGGATCACGCTCGCAAGGGCGTTCGAACGATTTCGCCATGCGCGCGAGCGAAGCCCGCTTGGGAGCATTTTAAGAACATGTCGGAAAAAATGGTTTCCTTCAGGGTTCGCAAGCGCGCGCGACCTTTTCTTGGAAATCCGCATTGCAAAACCCTGTATGTATATCTTGTATGCTTTGACACTCGATTTTGACACCTTTACGAAGCCGATGTTTTGAAGGATTTCAGCATGCGCCCGCGAAGACGCGCGCGCGCTTCGCCCCATCTGTTGCAAGGGATGGTGATAAACTCATGACTGTTCATACACGAGTGCGCGCACGGGCTGCTTGTTTGTTTTGAAATAAACACAAAAAACGGATGGCGAGGGGGGACGGATACCTCTTGGCCGGGGTAGCATGAGTTCATATTTCGGGTGGACGACGGGGCACAATCAGATGCAAATCTTAATACGGGGGGGGAGTCTATTTTTTTTTGAATGGAGAATCCACGCGCGCTTAGGTTCTCGCACGCTCTATTCGCAATCCAGAACGTTCGGCATCGGAGGACGTGCAGTACCGCGCGGGTAGCGCCCCCCAGGAAGCTTTTTAACCCGCAGCCCCAGAAACAGGCTTGGCGTTGCGCCCCCCGCCCACATCGGCACACCTGTCACAGGGATCGCACCCCACAGGGAGCTAGTTCCAACTACGTCCACAGAGACAAGGTTCGCAGAATGGCGCACCCCTCAGGCGGATCGCGCCCCGCAAACGATTGCATTGTGGCACCAGAAGGAAGCTCC